TTTTTTTTTTGGCTGTTGTTGTTGTTGTTGTTGTTGTTGTTGTTGTTGTTGTTTTTGTTTTTGTTTTTGTTTTTTTGTGTGGTTTCAGCAATTAGATAAGGGTTATTAGTAATTGTTGATCTAAACAGTAGTTAAAAGAAAATCACTGTGTTTTTTCACATGGATGTTGGGCATGGCCCTTTTTGTGCCATTTATCAGTCAATAGGATTTTTTCAGTGCTGCTGATTTCATTTGTCTCTATTGCTCAGTGACAGTAAGAAATACACTGCAGCTTACCCAAAAATTACTTAGACCTGTTTTCTGACACTGAGACTCTTAAAGCTAAAGGAACTGCTGAAAGGACTAAGCTCAGTGGTGGATCTTGAGACAGAAGGGATTCCTCTGTTGTTATTTTAGCAAGTGATATTATCTATTTTGGTATTTCTTTCCTGGGAACTGTCTCCAGGGAATGACCAGTTGTTTTCAAAGTTATTTAGCACATTCAGAAAAATAAAATAAATATAAAAGAAAGGCAAAAGTTGTCCAAGTTGTCCCTGCACAGGACAGAAGGGGTTGGAATGGAATGATCTTTAAGGTCTCTTTCAAACCTAACCATTCTATGATTGAAGCAGAGTATCTGGGAATGGAGCACAGTGAAAACAAAGCCTCTCATGGAAAAAGACCTCCATGAGTACTGTCCATTATATGTGCTTTTGCATTTAAGTTGATCAGTATCAAATCTCCTTGACAGCCTAAACTTTCCTTTTCCATTTCCTCTCTGATATCTGGCCAAACTTAATCTGTAGAAACTTGTCTTATCCTTCTGCTCTACTTTTTTCATTGCTATTCTCAAACTTGAGAGCCACATGTTAATCAGCTAGAGAAGGCTTCTTGTCTACAGTTCAGGCAAAAAATCCAAAAAAAGTTATTGGCACACGCCCAGTTTTTGTGGCCACAAAGAACTTTTCTGTCCATCCTCAGTTTCAAGCTGATATTCCCAGATTTGCCAGGTCTTTTAGAACTGTTGTGCCTGATGAAGAGCCCTCCTGTGACACACAGTGGGAGCATGCCAGGCTCTTGTAATGCTCTGCTCTGCAGGCTCAGGCAGGTGGGGCTGGGCAGGGGGTAGAGCAGAGCACTGGTAAGGACAGACATGGCAGTCAGTGGTTCTGCCAGCCTCCTCCATGGAGAAGTTAACATTGCAGGGCAGGCCTTTGCCTCATGAAGGAGGGCCAGACGGAAGAAAGAAGAGGAGATGATGCCCCATGGAAACAGATGGTGAGTGGTGGAGCCATGGTGCCCCCAACCCCTGTGCTTGCTCTTAACTATTGGTTTAATTTTGGTCTCTTGACTAAACATGATAAAGAAAAGCTGTGCTTTAAGTAAGAACAGTAGGGAAGGCATTTTTCCTTCCTTTCTCCATTTCCCTCCACTCCAGATCCAACCCAGCTGCCTTAGGCAGGACTTGTGCAGCTCTTTTCTTCACAAGTTTCACTCCAGCAGTGAGTGTTTTGACCAGGTTTTGGTGGTCCCTCCTGAATCCTGCTGGCAGCACACAGGAGCCTGTCTACTGCTGGCAGAGCACCTGGATCACCTTTGTGAACGGGACTGCTGGAATGAAAAGCCATGCTGTACTTGTTCTTTTACATAGCCAAGAAAACAGGACAGTTCTTGAATTTACACAAAATGAGGGAACCCAGAAAATACGGATAACATTATTAAGCAGGATGTGTTCCCCCAACACTTTTTGTGGTCTGAAGGAAAGCGTCTCTTGCACAGTGAGATCCATACATCTGAGGCACTTTCTATGCTGAAATGTGAGACCTGCTGCTAATTGTGCCTCACGTTCACCCTGAGTGGTTGCAGCTCTGCACACATTGCACAATTTTGGCACACCTGTGCTATTAGCAGCAGGCATTAGTGTTTCCTAATGGAATTCTTTTGTGGTTACAAAGTAGGCTTTGTACATCTGGAAAGAAAACCCACACAATTTTGCATTGATTTATTGTATTACCGACTTGCTTAGTCAGAACATGGTGTTTATTGATATGCTCTGGTATCAGTACAGCCACTTCGACAGACGAGTTTCAGCACTTAGTCCCGTGATGTTGGCTTATGAACATAAAATCCAGGCTCTTTCCTTGGAGCTGGACTATCACATCATCTACACTTGATATTAACTCCTGTAAAGCAGCTTATTTAGCATTCATTTCATAAAGCTGCCAGGAAGTGTTTCTCTCATACTTTAGGCTATTTTAAGAGTTCAGCGCCTCAAGGCAGGTCTTTTCATCTTAACCTAAAGCAAGCCAGTAACTATTTCATTATGCAGAGGACTCTGATCCTGGTTGACAGGTGAACAAAGCCAGATGCTAGAATTCTTGGGAAATGCAGCATAGACATAGACTGTAAAAACAAGGAGGTTGCTTAATAGCTGGACTTGACAGGGTAACTCAAATGCTGAAAAATGCTCCAGTGCGTCCTACTCTTTTAACATGGTAATGCACACACTTAAAGCACAATTCTGAGACAGAGTTTAAAAAAAGATAAAGGGATCCTAAGCTATAGCCCTATAACCATAAACAATAATACATAAATCTAAAAAGCATATATAAAGAATAAATATAATTGAAGTTATGCGGTCATGCTTTTCCTGTTTTGCTTTGAGGACTGCTATTAATATGGATGTTTTCAAAGCTGGAAGGCTGACTGGAGATGGATAAATGGGTATTTCCTATAGGTCAGGATTTTAGGAGGGGGTTTTGTCCATCAAATCGTGATCAGTTTGCAAGCTGTCTGTCTTCACACAACATCCTTGGTGCTTGGGGTACAGAGCATCAAAGAAATGCAGGCTGAAAATTGGCAAAACAAAGTATAATATAGACGTGGTCAAAAAAATATCTACTGCCTTACCAGAAAGGAAATTTCTGCTATTCCTGGCAAAAAACAAACATCACAATGTCTTGCATATTAAGATGCAGAAAGAAGCTGTCATAGCAACATAAATCTGGTTTGTTTCAATAAAGAAATACATTTTGATAAGAGGGAACCCTTCTCCCACACTGCACAGACCAGACTAATATTACTGGAATACCTTCAGTAGGATGAGTGCAGATAACTCCTTTGGGAAGTGTCAGACAGTCTTATTTAGTTGTTATTCCTATGCTGTAGCATCAAACATTTTATTTGGATGCAATTACTGTATGTGAATTACCGAATTTCTCCTTTCATGTCTTCAAGATGAAATACATGTAGGAGCTTCCAGAAGAGAACTTTTGTTTTCTCAAACTGAAATTGAAACTAACCATCTTTGGAATAAGCTCCATTGTCCATCCTGCTGCACACTTCATGCAGTGCTGCCTCCTTCACTGCATGTGTGGCACCCTGTAAATCCCTGGCACTGAGATGCGATCACAGAAGATTACTGGGAGTTTTGAGGTAAAATTGCAAAAACTTATTTTGAATTATATTATGGGAAATGGGGATAGAGGGGTAGAGTTTGTGGAGGGGGAAATCCCCATCAGACTCTACAGAATACCTTGATCTTTGTTTTCTGGCCTTGCCTGGCTGGGCCTGTAGCTAAATGTGATTTTGGACAACAGATGGGTTCCCTGGCCTCTGTCAACAGCTGCCAATTCACGTCCACAAGCAAAGAAAACTTCTGTAAGTACTAGCCCAGATCTTACTTGTATGTCTACTGTCACCCTGAAATAAATGGATGCATAATGGTGAGCCTAAGAAGCGTAAGCCTAGGTAGGGTTAAGCCCAAATCTGGTTCAGCTCAGGTAGGGCATGCCTGTAACCCAGCCAGACACCTGAAATTCTGTTCATTTTTATTGTGGGTTCTGCCATTTGAGCATTGTAGTCAAGTATGGAGCACGTCTGTTTGAGGAGAGTTGGGTGGTAAAGGTATTTGCCCTGTGTCAGGTGGTTCAGTGCAAAAGAACACATTCTGAGAGAACCTTTACTCTGACCTGCGCCTCTGGCTGTCAGTTCTGTTGCACAAGACCTTGCTGACTGGCCATATCATATATCTAGACCAAAGGCACTTGCAGAGCATTCCCATGCCAGCAGGTGCAGTGGCCATTTTAACAGGATAAAATTCTTAGGCAGATTTTGTCCATGTGTTATCTAAATCTTCAAGGAATTCCACAATTCCTACTCCTACTGAAGTCAGAAGATCCTGAGAAAGGATCGTCCTGAAGAAAATGCTCCAGAATCTGAGTTACTTTCCCTGTGAACACAGTCTATTTTACAGTAAATAATTACAAAGAAAAAGTAAGATTCAAGCACAGCATTGCCTAGATGGTCTAAAAAATTTTAAAGTTGTTTAATTTTAATTTTTTTTTTAATTTTAAGTTTAAAGTTAAGTTTAATTTTTAAGTGTTATTAGACCTTGTGAATCCTTGAGACATGCTGCACTGACTACAGAGCAAATTTGCTTGCAAAACTGCTTTTCTGCTGGGAGAAATCTGTTGCTTGAAGTTTGTCATAAAAAGTTTTTTGAAACCTGTGCCATCCAGGGCAACTTCACTTTAAAGGAAAAAGACCAAGTGACTTTCTAAACACATTTCCTCTGGGTAGTTTGTAAAGGAGGAATTTACACCTGAACTTGAGAGATCCCTTTAAACAAATACTGACATTTTACTAGGTGTTCCCTCAGGAAATCACTGCTTTAACTTGCAACTTCAGCATCTAAAATCTTCTTGATAATGTCTCCTGTGACAAGTAGCTCACATGGCTTTTCCTTGCTCAAGCTACTTCACACAATTACAGTGTGCTCACACCTGTTGTGGAAATATCAGGTTTGCAGAGGAAATTCTCAGGTGAAGCCCTGATCCGCTGAAAATGCCAATTGTTCTGTGCAAGTTTGACTTTTTGAAGAAAAGCAGCACAGACCTTTAAGCTATCACCTCTGATCCTGTGCAGAGCTCAAGCAGACACAGTTCCAGGTAGGCACACTTCAGGTTTTTTATCTTTAAGAAATTAAAGTATAGAAATAGATAAAGTACAATTTTACTTACTCTCAGACGTTTGACTAACCATGACTGCTAGGACAACCAGAACAATGACAAATTTCACATCCATTCCTCCTGGGAGCTGCGGGAGCAGAGCAGAGCAGGTGGTGACTGCAGGACTAACACCTGACCCTACCTGCTGGCTCTTGGGGATGAACGTGCCTTGAAGCCCCACCCTGAGCAGCAGCTTGGCACCAGTTCTGTCCTGTGTGGCACTATGGACTTCAGCAGGATTCCTCCTCTCGCCTGAAGACGTGCGGTTCAGTTTTTTGCCAGATGGGAAGACAGGCTGTATTCCACACAGTTCCCCAGGGAGGTGCTGCCTTACAGCCAGATCCTTGCAGCCCCCTCACTGGTGAGGCTCTTCAGCAACAGACTTGCCAAGGGTGGGAGTACTTCAGAAACAAGTACTTGCAGGATTGAGGAGTAAATAAAAAAACCCCTCTGCTATTAGGTGTCATCTGCATGGAAGCTACATGTGCAAGGCTGTGGGCCAAACCTGCTGTAGGACAAAAAATACAACCTCAAGGAGACCCCAGCATTGCCCTAGCTTTGTGTTTGACCTGGGCATTTTCAGTCTGTAAGGACCATGTTATTCCTGACACACTTGGCGTTCAGCACTGTTTCAAAGCTTCCAAACCCCTAGAAAGATTACGGTGTGGCATCAGTCTGAACTGGGCACAGTGGCTGTAAGGGCAGCAAGCAGCTGCTGTACTTCACCACAGCCAGTGCAGTGCCTGCTTTGACCTTTCCCAGGGCTGAAACAGAAAATCAGTCTGGGAATTTCCTACACTATTCAACCAAGCTCATCTTTACTCTGGCTCATTACGTCATTCTTACTATTCCTACATTTCCAGACCACAAGGTAGAAGAAATTGCTAACTTCAGGAACTTTAGTCTATACTTACACTGTCTGAACACTGGTTTTGCAATTTCTTCTAATAATAAAATAATAAAGTGCAATCAACCTTTCTGGCTATCAGTGTTTTACTTCATAGCCGTTTCTGCTATTCACTGTTATCTACCAGGATAAGAGACCAGGACAAATCCAGACTATTACACTTTGAAATAAAAGTCTGCTGTTAAAATGAAAGAGAGTAGAAGATAATCATGTGTGTTGTTTAAAGTATGATATTGAAGAAGTCATTTATGTGGAAATCAGCAAGTTGATTCATTGTCACCATTTAGATTATAAAAGCTACATCATCCTCGCCAAAGCTAAGACAGATCACAGCAGCTTTATTAACCTGAACCTATATAAGGACAAGAATTTTAGCAGCATTATTGTTCTTCAAAGTAGCACGAGGAGGAAAAAACTAGATTAAAGGGAATACAGTGAGACAGGTGCTACTGGAGTAGCATGTTAAAGAAACAGCTTCAGTCAGTATCAGATTTTGTATTCCAGTTGATGCTGCAAATCAGGATGCTTTGTTTCCTTGCAGATAATTAATTAGTTTGTCTTGGCAAATGCTTCATGTGGGATGATACAGTTTTAAAGACCTGATACAGATTACAAGGGTCTTTCCACAGGGAGAGTATGGAGTACAGGGAGCTGCAGCAGTGATGGGGATGGAGGAAGAACCAAAGCACTTTGTGTTTCTTAAGACCTGTTCCTATGACACATTCTAAGTGCTCCCCAGACGTAACTCAGACATGCACACCTCCTGTGCTCTCAGAACAACAGAGGAAATACAGGTGTCTGGGTATTATGTTCTCTGCTGCTGGCAACAAACAACAGCACACTGAATAAAACTTATTTCTTTCAGCTTGAGCTCAAGTTTTATATCTTGTGTTCCTCAATCTTATGTTCATGGTGTCATTTATAGGTTCAGAATTAAGTAAATGGCCATTTACTTCAACATTGAAAGTGCAGCAAGGAAATTAGGATTGTGACAGAACCGGAACATGCTTCCCACTTTATGGAGGCTATATAATGTGTCAACAATTTAAAATGCTAAATCTATTGGAACAGGACAAAATGTAAACTGGGGAAACAACACTAATTTATGAGACTGAGAAATTAAAAATAAAAACAAAGAGAACAATAGCAAATATTGTGCTATGGCTCCACATGAATGTGCAGGCAGCCATCCAATTTACAAAGGAAGAAGGAGTTAGCCAGAAATTCTTTTCCAAGAATTGGGCTGACAAGAGTTGACAGTGGCATTAGTTACAAGTATAGCTGAAAGGAGGCAAAGAGTTTTATTGACATATTGACTTGGATTGCATTCAAAGCTCAAATCAAAGCACTAACCTGCAGGCAGAAATTGTTGCAAATGAGAAGCTAGTCATTCTTCTATCCTGAGAAATAAAGTAAATGCTTTTTAAAATCCTTTTTGAAGTTCTACCTTTTATTTGTGAAAGTAGAATGGCTAGCAAGGCTAAAACTGATGGATCTTTTAATCTGAGCCTTCAGTTTTTGAGCAGAGGTTAATGATTGTTTCTTCTACTTCAGTGTGCACTGCAATATAATCCCCTCAGTTATGTATACCTTTCTGCAGTTACTCAAGCCAAGGCAAGAATAAATGCTCCTTCCTTTACCCATTCCTTGCAGTCAAACAATGTTCTTTTGCCACAGGGGTGCTGATTGCTGAGGAAGACTGAGTCCAGTTTGGTAAATCAGGATAATTAATGTTGAAACAACTTTAGATCTTTACTGTTTCCAGCAAGACTTAATTTGATGAAGGCTTCTAACACATTGATAGATGCAATAGGCCTATCACAGTACTTATCACGCTATAAATGATCCTAATAACCAATTCACAGTAATAAATGCTTTTTCTAGTTTGACTTAATTAAAGGACAGATTTCACAATGAAATATACTTTGGACTTCCTAGCAATGTCTCAACTGTTTATGTGCATATCAAAACCCGAAACTGTAGCCTCCTCAGATATCCCCTATTCTAGACTGCATTGGCTGGCCCTGTGCCTATCATAAACCTCTGACTTTAAAATGGTTTGCATAACTCTCATTCAGCCTTCTCCATACCAGATATTTTATCTGTGGGTACTTCATTTTGGGGAAAAAGGAGGAGCACGAAAGAAAACTTTGGGCTGTGAAAATTATTAGTACTTAATATGCAAATTCCAATATGCAATTCAGTCTTCTGCCCAAGAGGGAGGGTATGGATACACCCTCATGTCAGGAGAGCTCCCCACCAGCCAGCTAGAGCCTCACTGGGATCTATCTTACACTCAGCTCTACATCTCGTGGGTGCATAGAACAGGGAAGAAACTTGAAGAGGGACTGGAGCACCATTCCCCTGCATCAGATGAATGTCCCCAGAGATGATGCTCACATGCTCCTGCTGTGCTCAGCCTCCCCAGGACTCTCTGGTGACAGAGGTGTAGCATTTGCAGGAATTGCTGAAAGTCTTGTCTCTGTCAGTGCTGTTGCCTGGCACTCAGGGCATGGACTTCCCATTCCCTGACTACTAAATTTTGACAGAATGGGATGAAAGTTGAGTTCTTGGGAAGAAGATGCAGGTTTTTGTCCCGAAATGACATTTTGGGCTTTACAAACCAAGAAGGCAAAGGTGCCAACTTTGGCTGAAGTGCTAACATTTCAGAGAAATACCTACTATTTCCCACTGTCCAATTCAGAATGCTTTATTATGGGTATTTTGAATTCCATCTGGAGCAGCTGACACACAAGTCACATACAGACAGACACATATACACCCCCAGGCATTTTACCTGAAGGTGCTGTATGGACTTCAGCTCTTCCTGTGGCAGCAATTGTCAACACCAATGGAAACAGCACAGAGGAAGCCCCTACCACCAGCACACAGCAAAAGGGATTGTTTGTTCCTCACAGGGCAGTGCTTTGGAGGCCAAACCACAGGAGGAGGAGAGAATGCTGTGGCACAGGTGCTAACAGAGAAGAGAAGATGACTGGCATTCAAAAGAGAAATTAAAATCTCTCTGAAGTGAGAACTATGAGAAAACTGAGGCTGGCACCAGTTCTGTGATTCTGCTCCTCTCTGAAAGAGTGAAACAGACTGAAGAGAAGGTGGTCATGCAAATATTGCAGACTAGAGAGGCCAACACCCAGAAAACAACTACTGCAGAAGCAAAGAGTACCATTTGATAGAATTCTCCTTTAGCATCATGTTGCAGATGTTGACTGGGAAGCCAACCCTGAGCAGAGCCCCAGGATTCACCTCAGAAACTTACTTCAAGACTGCCAAAGAGTACATTATTGCTGGTAAACTGAAAATCTTGGCTTCTAATAGCATGTTCCCATCATCTGAGATAGTCGAATTATAACCCTTTTCATACATCCAGTATAATATTTAAGGCTGACACCTTATTATGCAACATGAGAAGAAGGACCTAATTTATTGAAGCAATGAGCAAAAAAACAAACTGAAGACCCTTCCCTTCTCAACCTCTGTTAAAAAATAAAAAAAAAAAAAATTAGAGGATTACAAGGTGACTGCCGATAAGAAAGAATGTCAGATGTTTTCCATGGCTGATTAGCTCAGCAGAAAACCTGATGCTGAGATGCACAAGCAGGAAATAAGTACATTGGGAATTGTGTTTTTGAACAGAACAAAGACCAGTAATTCTTCATGCTTCCTTATGATTTTAAAAATAAATGTATCTTCCTGAATACATAGCTGAGTTGTTCTTGAAACCAAATTTTAAAAAAAAAGACACTTACATGAGTGTCCACACAGCCTCTTTCCAACTCTACCTCCAGGAGACTTTGTCTTCTGACATGACAAAGCTGGGTGCCAAAGGCCAGGTACCCCTAAGTTTTGGATTTTTTTTTTTTTTTTTTTAATCTTAGGCCTTAACTGACTTTTTGAATGAGGAAGTGAGTCTATGATTTTGATTCCAAAAGGCAAAAACCAAAATGGGGGAGGGACAGAAGGTCTACTCACAACACGTGAAAGCTCATGCCCTACAGAGGCAGTATCTGACCACACAGGTTAGTGGTCTGGATCAGCAGGATGTTCTGTTTCTTACCTGCTTCTCCTGCATCCTAAAAAACTTGAAGATGTCTTTCTGGACAAGATGTATCCTGAGCATCTTGTTCTGATCTCCCTATCTTTTAAAACCCAACATTGTATACACAGGATGATAACAAAAAGTGG